AGGAAGCATATAAAATCTTCCCGCTACGGGACTGAGTGGTACCAAAGAGCGGACTGTCTTTTCATCTAATTTACCATGTTCTAGTAAAGACGTAAGTGCGTCCTTAAGCTTAGATTTAAATTCGCTGGTAGGATCGGAGGGCAAAGCTTTGTAAAAAGTGGCATCTGAAAGTTGCCTCTCGGCCTCGCTTATATAATCAACCGCGTTGAGAATTACAATGGCCCCCCCTTTATCGGCTGGTTTGATGACGATGTCATGGTTTGTCGACAACTGTTCGAGAGCAACCTTCTCTTTTTTGGACAAATTGTGGCGGTAAGGCGCAGTTTTCTTATAGGCAGCGAAAATGTCGCGTTGTACAGCGTTTATGTAAATGTCAAGACATCTGTCGCGATGTGGTGGGGGTGTCCATTGTTTATATGTCGGTAGTGCAGGTCTGGTTTCATTCGGGCTTCGGCGGTCATGATAGTATTCTCTCAGACGCAAATTACGGGAAAAGTTGTGTAGATCCTTCAGAAGTTGAAACTCGTTGAAGCCACCTGAAGCGGGGCAAAAGTTGAGGCCCTTTGACAGAGCACCCATTTGTTCGTTGGAAAGAACTATGTTTGAAAGGTTTACAACGCTGCTATCTATTTGAGAAGACTGGTCTTTCGAATCATTCGAACGTGTTGCGGCGCGTTTGGTTACCTCAAATTCGCGTTCGTGCGTACATAAACCATCACGTAGAAACTTCTTCTGTTTGGTTGTGTTTAACTTGTTCCTCTTACGTTCTTCATAGGCAATTAAACATTCAGACTCATGCACTGCTAGCTTCTTTAACAGGCGAGCTTCTGTATGCTGAAGGTCTTGCGTGCAAGATTTATAATGGTCAATAATTATGGGTATGAGATCTAAGGACGCTTTACTTAACACTTCTTGCCATTTGGTTTTGTTAGAGGCCGAAAGTTCAGAAGTAGCTGGTTTAAATCTTATCTGTAAACCTTTCGGGACCACCGAAGCATTCAAGTAGCTCGTAAGTGAGAATACGTGTAGCTCGGAACGAACTCTTTTCTCAATAATTTTCCTAGCTTCTAAAAACTCTCGCGAAGGAAGACTTGAAACATTGCCTTTAAGCGCAGGCGCCTGCCGTCAGTCGGTGGCACTCCCTCGACCAGCGTTCCGGCGGGTAGGGTAGCGATGACCCGTGGTGGCGGGAGCCTCAGTTCGGTTTTGCCGAGTTGTGTCTTGGCTTGAAGAACCGGAGTTGTGTGTAGCACCCGCAGGGGACGTTTGTTGGCGCCTCCTCCATCCGTCTATTAAGTTTCCATCCGTCTATTAAGTTCTCGCACCAATTTTCGCGCACTTCTGTAAATTTTCTCGATGTCACAGTCACCATTTCCGAAGGACAACTTGCTACGAAGCTGTTCCGCAAGCCTACTGACCGACATCAACTCCTGCATTTTCAGAGTGGCCACCCCCGGCATTGCAAAACAGGAATTCCCTATAGCCAGGCTCACCGCTTTAAACGGTTGTGCTCTGACCGTACAGATTTCATTGAAAATTGTAATAGGCTCAAAAGTTCTCTAGTAAAAAGAAAATACCCGGAAAAACTAATAGACGATGCCATAACTCGAGCTGACCAACTCAACCGCACCGAGATTCTGAAAGGAAAGGACGGGAACGATAGCTCTGCTCAAACTAACCTTGTTCTGACATTTTCATCATCAGCTCCTAAGGTATCTGCTATATTGAAACGGCACCACAACATCTTAACCGAAAGTGATAATCTCAAAAAAATTTTTTCTGTTCCGCCTCGTGTTGTTTACCGACGGTCAAAAAACCTTCACGACATGTTAACGTCATCTAAAATTGGTACCCGTAAAGAGAGTGGCTGTGCACCTTGTAACAAACCACGGTGCAAAGTGTGTGTGCACATGCAAACCACGCAAAACGCCGCGAGCACGTCTTCGGACTTTAAATTAAAGATTCGTGGTAGCTTCGACTGCGACACTTATAATGCCGTATACATGTTGGAATGTAGTGCCTGTTTGAAACAATATATTGGTCATACTGAAACTCCATTCAGAATACGCTTTAATAACCACAAATCCCATGTAAATATATTCCCTCATCTACCGCTATCACGACACGTTCGCATGCCGGGCCACTCTTTCGATCAAATGAAAGCGACCATTCTTGAATCTGGTTTCCGCTCAAACCATGATCGCGAACTCCGGGAATCATACCTGATATTCAAGTTCAATACTGTAGCAGATGGTATCAATGAAGATGCAGGCACATTGACGTGTCTTCCTTCCACGTAAGCTTATTGGTCAACAATATAACAAGTGTACGCTAGTCTGCTTCTCTATCAGAGAGTGCGCTGTGCTGATAATGTATACAGAAACAGCGATTCTTATATATATATAATAGAATTATTTATCATCGGCAACGCGTATATTTTACACGCGAACCATTATTGTAAGAAAAGAGCTTTGACATCCGTAATGTCGCGATGCACACGTGTATCCCGCAAAGCCGTATCAGCTGCCAATGACTTACAAATGGTGACATCACACAGTGCTGTATAGATATATATTTTTGATCACTGAAAACCGTTTTTGTGCTGATACAGATGAGCCTTGTTCGTTACACAAGAGCATGTGTGTTTTTTGGGGGGGTCTCGAATATTGACATATATAAGCGCGCGATTTTTATGCCCTGTATTCCCAGACGAAGGCCGGTCCCACGGTCGAAACGTCGGACTAAACTGTGCTGAAACGTTCGTTGTGTGTGAATTACTCCTTTTTCTATACTATCAGAGCCTGCGTGATACTTCCTATAATCCCTTATATATATATATATATATATATACTCCACGCTTACTTTGTAGCGTAGGTAACCTTGTTAGGTCTATTTATACTTCGCGTTCAAGACCAAATCAAAGCAACCAAATGGGTTGCTTGGTAATCCATTAGTGTAGTCAACAGTGCAGTAGTCTCGGGACGGCTTTCAGCTCTCCCATAGTAGAGTACGAAGTACTCTAAATCGTTAACAACTTTTTCTAAACACACGCCACGCAATATAACCTGATGTTGTGTAGTAATGAGAGGTTAATTGACCAACATTAGCAATGGAGAAATAATATGGCGAAATAAGCAAATAGTATCGTTTACTACTTTTTTCTTGAAACCATTAAAAGTTACTTCCCAGGGTAGGTAATGGCTTGGGTAGTAACAGCAAAGATAGTAACTGTTACCACCCTCGCCGTTACTCACTGCCCGTATACCTACTACCAGGGTTGTAACATATGTGACAAACTATTAATACCTCAAAGTTACTACTACCTTTTTAAGAGTGTATCGTTCTCCATGCAAGCAAGATCTGTCGCCAGTGGCTACCGAGCGTTTTGCTCGCATCACGCAAACCTGCCGGTTTACGCTACTCGTCGCCGGCCTCCGATCGAAGCTTGACTCCGCCAACACTTCGACGTGCTCCCCATCGCCGTGGTGTCGCACGCAGTCCCCACCACCGGAAAACTATTCTGTGCGGCCAATGGGGGTGAGGCCGCAGGATTCCGGGCACTCTTCAGCAGACATGCCTTTGTGTACGTTAAAAAACGGAGTTTAGTGCTTGTTGATGGCGTACTTACCATGGCACTTGTAGATACAGGTTCGACTATTCCTGTGACGAGTCTGAATTTTAAAAATGGTCTTGGGCCAAGGTAGATGATTTGTTCGAAAAGTGGTGTGACATTCCGTGGTGTAACTTTCTGATATTTAGTGCCTCTGCTCTCAATGAACTCCCTTTTTAAACCTTTCCCGTGTGCGTAACAATATGAACGACAACTGAGGTTCGTCGTAACTGAAGCAAGCATGTCCATGTAACAAAAATATTAGTAGCCCTAATAGAGTTTGCAACGGGTTCTGCAAATGGTGCTCTTCCATCTTTCGCTGGGACTGTCCTGCGCTTTCCACGCGAGCCTGGCATTTATTTGTATGCGTGCACTGTAATCTCTCCCCCTTTCTATTTCTTTCCGACCACATCATGAAAACCTACATATTTTCTCTTATGACGCTGTACTAACCCATACGCTTCTGTGCTATGTTGTGGGAGTCGGGGCTCATCAAGCTGTTCTTACAGTCTGAAATTAAAAGCAGAGCGTGGAAAGACGGGAAACTGGAGACGGGAAGGGCGCTCTACTTATAATTTCAGACAATGCACCAACTCGCCCAGCAACGCGTTTGATCTGTTCTTACATGTTTAACGTGCCCTCGTCGTAACGTGCTCTTGTCGCGGAATAAAATTTAACATTTCATTCAATTTTAGTTCTTTTTGAATGATGTGTTTCAAGCCATGGTCTTACGCTACGCCTTTTTCTTTTTGCGCATTCGGGAGTAGTAAATTTGTCTATCTCTCGAGGAAAGTAGATTTGCATGCTTTGAAAACTTTGTGCTCCTACTCTCACTGTCGTGAGTGACCAATGAATCCATCCTTTTAGGGGCGAAGCTTCTTAAAGCGGCACCCGTTTGTCCCTCGTGGACGGACGCACGGAAGGCTCCACGGACGGGTGGACACATGGACGGACGCAGGGGTGGATGCATGGACGAGCACTGGGACGGACGTACAGATGGACGTGCGGACGCACGAACAGACGCATGCTCGGATGGGTGGATGGACGCACGAACGGTCACACAGACGGACGCATGGATGGACGGAAGCAAGAACGAGTGGACGGACGGATGCTTCGCCCCACTCTCCATCAATCACTCCGTGGATATGCTGCCATTTTTTCATATCAGTACTGCACTCACCATGTAGTTTGAGTGCAGAGGACAGAGAGCACAGGAGAGAATTAGATACGCCATTTCATTTATAACAAACATCAAATGAGGCGTCCTGCTAGGACACGACGTACGCCTCGTCCCTTTACTTTCTGCGCGTGGCTCACGCGTTCGTCAAATCGACCGCACGCTGGCAGCTCAAGCGTATCACTTTCCTTCGCCGGGGGCGACCGCGGCGCCGATGCAGCGACGCTGCCGAGCCGGAAACACCAGGGCCTCGCCTTCCTCTCAGTATTGCGTTGCGCACAAGCATTTTGTGCCAGGTAGCCACGTGAGCCTGTTACTTCTTCCGTCGGCTACATTGCAGAAGGGCGGAACCCTGTGATTGCAAGCAGGTAACCCACCAAAGACGCCACGAAGAGTGAGTGTTCTCTGCTTTGTCGCCACAAAATGTCCTGCCATTTACGTAATGCCTCTATCCGCTATCAGGCCTCTGCCCTCAGCGCTATGCAGCTGGCTTCGTGCCGGATGGCGCTGCGAACGGCGCTCCGGTGACGTCTGTGAGGGAGAGGGTCGAGATGTATGGCTTTTTTATTCTTTCGAAGCACGTAGCAAGGCGCTCTCCATCTGCAGCTGCGTATTCATTGTTTTTGCGTTGCTTCTATAAATGCTGGCGTTGGGATTCCTTTAGAAAACCACAATTGTTCACTCTGTCTTTTAAGAGCGCGACTACAGCAGTCGAGGATACAATCACAGCGTCAAAAAACATGACACGTGAGCCTAGGCAAGTGTGAAAACAAAGTGTGTATTACGAGTCAGTCGCAGCTGTTGACTAAGCGATGGTGGGACACCTACAAAGCTCAAAGCTTCCCTCGATATCTATCTATCTATCTATCTATCTATCTATCTAGCTATCTATCTATCTATCTATCTATCTATCTATCTATCTATCTATCTATCTATCTATCTATCTATCTACTATCTATCTATCTATCTATCTATCTATCTATCTATCTATCTATCTATCTATCTATCTATCTATCTATCTATCTATCTATCTATCTATCTATCTATCTATCTATCTATCTATCTATCTATCTATCTATCTATCTATCTATCTATCTATCTATCTATCTATCTATCTATCTATCTATCTATCTATCTATCTATCTATCTATCTATCTATCTATCTATCTATCTATCTATCTATCTATCTCGCGTTTTGCTAACGTGGCGTCGCCGTTCCCAGCGTGCGCGCGCGTAAACGCTACATTGGAGTATATTGGGCCTTTCATGATGTGTTCGTGGCTGTTTTGCTAGCTCCACATATACCAAATTTGGTGTTACGTGACGTCAATGGATGACGAAAGATATGACTGGTGCAAACATGATAATCCTGACGCGCGTGTCATGTAAGAACATGACAACATACCACGCTCGTAGCCTACTCGCGGCCGTTTCGCTAGCTCCACATATACCAAATTTGCTGTCACGGGACGTGAATAGATGACGAAGGTAAACAATATATCCAAACATGATAATCATGACACGAAAGTCATGTACGACATTACCTACCTCCACCTCGTAACGTTGTGCTGATTTTAAAGTGTCATATCAACATTTCTCATTCGTGCTTCGCATACCATCGATTCCTACCGTATGTGGGTTCTGCCAATTTTTCTTGATTTCAAATATGATATCCCTGACACACTCTGCTCTTTTCTTGTCTCTTATGTTTACACCTATCATTTTCCTTTCCATCGCTCGCGGCATCGTCCTCAATTCAAGATGAACCCTCTTTTTAAGCCTCAGTTTTCTTCTCCGAAGGTAAGTATACTGGCAAGATGCAGCTGTTCTACAGGGTGTCCCACATAACTGAGCCAAGAATTTGAATGTGAAAGGCCCTTAGGAGGCGAATGGAACCAAACGCATACTACTCGCACTAGCCTGTAGGTACTCAGGCTATTTTTACTTTTCTCCCCATTCTAATTATTTAATAATTCTGAATTACCTATTTTTTAATTATGAGCTGGAAACCCAAGGTATAAACACTGAGATGTAGAGCACTTTCAGAAACCACTGACAAAATTGTTTCCTGAACGATACGTCTCGTGCTGTTACTTTTTCCACGTTGTAAAGGAATTCCGCGAAACGTGAAAAGAAGCCGTGTTACGAACCGCGATCGCACTGCTATAGTGCTGCTATAGGCTTTTTTTTTTACAACGCCGAAAAAATAACAGCGCAAGACGTATTGTACAGGAAACAATTTAGTCGGTGGTTTCTGAAAGTGCTCCACATCTCAAGTGTTCATATTTTGGATTCCATCCCATACTTGAAAAAATAGGTAAATGAAAGTTACTATGAATGAAATAAAAATAGCCTGAGTACCTACAAGCGAGTAGTACGCATTTGGTTCAATTCACCACTGAAGTGTCTTTCGTCTTTAAATTCTTGGCTCAGGTTATGTGGGGCACCCTGTATACCTTCCTCTTGAGGGATAGTGGCAATCTACCAATCATGATTTGAGAGTGCTGGCAAAGTGGCCTCCACCCCTTTCTCATTCTTCTCGTTACTTCAATCTCGTGGTTCCGCTTCACGGTTATTACCTGTCCTAAGTAGACATATTCCTTCACAACTTCCAGCGTCTCTCCACGTATCACAGAGTGCTGTTTTCTGCCGGAATTGTTGCACATTACTTTAGTTTTGTGCATAATAATTTTCAGACCTTCTTTTCTCCTTTCCATGTCCAGTTCAATAATCATGAACTGCAATTCGCCCCCTTAGTTATTCATCAATGCAATGTTATCAGCGAATAACAGGTTACTAAGGCACTCTCCATTAACTCTTATCCCTAACTCTTCCCAGTCTATGATCCTGAATACCTCTTGTAAATATGCGGTGAATAGCATTGAAAGGATTGTGTCTCCCTAGCTTCCTTACACCCTTCTTTATTAGATTGATTGATATGTGGGGTTCAACGTCCCAAAACCACTATATGATTATGAGAGACGCCGTAGTAGAGGACTCCGGAAATTTAGATCACCTGGGGTTCCTTAACGTGCACCCAAATCTGAGTACATGGGCCTACAACATTTCCGCCTCCATCGGAAATGCAGCCGCCGCAGTCGGGATTCGAACCCACGCCCTGCGGTTCTTTATTAGAATTTTTTCGCTTTCTTCATGGGGAACTATGGCGGCTGTGGATCCTCCGTAGATTTCTTCCAGTATGTTTATGTAGGATTCTCCGATGTCCTGATTCCGTAGTGCCTACATTACTGCTGATGTCTCGACTGAGGCAAACGCCTTCTCGTAATCTATGAAAGCTATAGCTTTCATAGATTAAGAGAAATGTGCTGAACACAACCAACATCTATACATATATGCATAGGTGTTGGTTGCGTTCAGTGCAATTCTCTATTATTTGATTGATAGTATGAATATGGTCTATTGCAGAGTAGCCGGAGGGAAATTCTGCTTGGTTCTTTGGCAGATGGAACTCCAATATTTTTTTATTCTATTAGCTATTATTTTTGTAAATAGTTTGTAGAGAACGGAGAATAGGCTAGATTGGCATGTAATTTTTCAAGTCGTTGACGTCTCCTTTCTTATGAATTAAGATGATGTTGGCATTCTTACAAGATTCTGGTATCCTTACCGTCAAGGGACACTTTGTACATAAGATGGCTAATTTTTAAAACCCAATTTCTCCGCCATCTTTGAGGAGGTCTGTTGTTACTTTATTCTCACCAGCGGCATTGCCTCTTTCCATTCCTTCTGAAATTTTTCTTGCTTCCCCTGTCGTTACTGGTAGTATTTCGAATTCTCTTGGACTATTATAGTTTCTCACAATACCATCCTGGTTCTTTTGACTTCTGTACAGCTTTCTGTAGAGCTCCTCCGCCATCGTGACTATCCTATCCATATTGGTTATGACCTTGCCTTCTTTGTTTCTCAATGCATACATCCGATTTTTGCCTATGCACAAGCCTGCCTTCACAACTATTGGGCTTCTCCCGCTTTTTACAGCCTGCTCAATACTCTCCATGTTATACCTCATGACGTCGGCTACCTTACGCCTATTGATTAACTTCGAAAGCTCCACTACCTCTAATTTGGTGCTTGCATTTGAGGAATTTATTGTTTGTCATCTCTTAACAAGATTTTTCGTCTCCTGAGATAGTTTGCCTGTTTCCCGTCTAGTGACTGAACCTCCAACTTCAACTGCGCACTCATTGATGATACTAGTAAGATAATTGTTCATCGTGTCAACGCTAACGTCGGTTATCTCATTTAGTGCCCTTATTCGATTCTGGAGCAAAACGCTGAATTCCTGTATTTTTCCTCTCACCACCAGTTCATTAATTGGCTTCTTGCGTATTCAGCTTTTGTCTTCGCTTTTTGAATACGAGTTCTTATCATTCTATAGTCACTGAATCTAATCTTGCCAACTACTTCTACATCCTGTACAATGTCTGAGTGTGCACACAGAATGAAGTTAATTTCATATTTAGTTTCGCCATTAGGGCTTCGCCACGTACATTTACGGTTAGCCCGTTTTCTGAAGAAGGTATTCATAATCCGTAAATTATTACGTTCTGCGCACTCCCCTCTGGAATTTCTAAAGCCGATGCGATATTCCCCCACTGAATGGTCTCCGGCTTCTTTCCTGCCTACTTTGGCATTAAAGTAGCCCCTAAGAATAATATACTGTGCCTTTACTTTATTAATGGCTGACTCTACGTCTTCATAAAAGTGTTCAACCAAATTATCATTATGGTTTAGCGTAGGTGTGTAGGCCTGTACCACCTTCATCGTGTACCTTTGTTAAACATAATTATGATACTTGCAACCCTCTCACTGCTGCTATAATATTCTGCTATGTTGCTAGCGATATTATTGTGTATGAGAAACCCCGATCGGAGTTCTTTTCTGTCAACTAATTCACTGTAGCATAGGACGTGTCCTTTCTTCAGCACTGTATAAGCCTCCCGTGTCCTCCTAACTTCGCTGAGCCCTATTACATCCCATTTAACACCCACTAATTCCTCGAATAGCACAGCTAGGCTAGCCTCACTAGATAGCGTTCTAGTGTTGAAGGTAGCCATGTTCAGATTCCAATGGCGGCCTGTCCGTACTGAAAAATTCTTAGCACCCTCCGGTGCGTCACAGGTCTGACCACCGCCTTGAACAGGTGCTTCGCAGCTCCTGAAGACTGAGGGCCAAGGGTTAATTGCTGTGTTCACCGGAGGTTATGGCAAGGTACTGCACAAGGGTGGCCAATCCTGCTCTGGTGAGGGAGTGCATTACCGGCAGATGGTCGCCAGTGAGGCCGCACCTCAGACCACTTTTTTCTTCTTTTTAATGATTCTTTCCTCACGCATTTTAAGTATATATACAGTTGGGAATGGTTCGACATCTCTA